ACAAGTTCCCTACATGAATTGCATAATAGAGATACAAGCAAGAATCATTAAGTTCTATGAAAATCATAAGCATTGACGAGGCATTCATAACTATGGAATACGCATGTTACTCTTGCCAAGATTTTACTTAACGCGATTGTGACTAGCAACCTTCACTACTTGTGAATATAAGTTCATGACAATTAGGTGAAACTCCCTTATATTCTAGCATCAAATTCATGCATGCAAACTAAGTGTCGACCCTCAATCAACATACATAAATCAGTTTTTATACGAACGGATAAGTAAATTGAATTCATAACTTATGAAACGCAATTAAAAGTAATTAAATCATATTGCAAGCAAGGACATGTGTTTCGAATTCCCCCCTAGCTAAGGGGGGTTTAGTTCCTCATTATTACAAAACAAAGATAAACAAATTTAAACATTGAAAAAACAAAGGAAAGAAAGCACCTAAACGTTCCAACGATCCATGTTGGATAGCAAGCGCGTCCAAGGACTTTTCTCCTTCTCTTTGCCGCAACAACAAGGTTGGAATGATGTTGAAGGGTTGGTTATTTTGAGGAATGGATGGGAAGGGGTTTAGAATGTTTAGATATGTAGGAGAGGCAAGGAAAAGCTTGGAGAATGGTTAATATTTTGATGATTTGAATGAGGTTGCTACCATGGTATTTATAGGAAGAGGATGGACTTGTTTAACACAAAATTTTGGTGGAATTGAGTAGGTGAGCATGGCAAAGAGTGGGAATTGTTGGTGGGTTAGGTATTGAGTCATCCATTCACATGTCATGGTGATTTAAGCATTGCATCATCCACTCACATGTCATGGTGATTTAAGCATTGCATCATCCACTCACATGTCATGGTGAGATAGGCATTGCATCATCACTAAAAAATCTGGTGGAAGTGAAACAAAGGGAAGGCCACGGCACGGCATTGATGAATTTTATGAGGTATGCATGGTTTTTAGTGAAGTTTTGGCCAATCCTTCTAGAAATTTATCTCTTCTTGCACTTTGTATTTGTTTCACCACATTTTTAGCATGTTTCTATCCTCATTTGACTTCAAATTCGTCCATCCATCTTGCTCATATCATATGTAATCCATTCCAAGCTCAAAACTGCTCCAAAATGCACCAAAATGCACTTTCTTGCTACCTTAGCCCTTTGGACCTACAAACACACGAAAATAGCCTAAAGTACTAAAATAACTAAGAACTAATAACGTAAATGCAAGAAAACTAGTTAACTAAGTCGCATAAATATGCGTCTATCATCGTCACGGTCATTCTGCAATCGATTGTTTCAATCGCCTCAATATGGCCTATGAAGGACGTGTTCCTGCTCCACGTCTCCAAGCTTATGCTGCTGCTGCACCGTCTCCGGCATCTGCCTCTCCCTCTAGCATTCAAAACTGGCTTTTTGACTCTGGAGCCAATGCACATATCACCTATGATTTGAATCAAGTTTCGAATCCTCGTCCTTACAATGGCACTGACAATGTTAATGGCATGGTGGATGGATCAGGTTTGCACATTTCTCATGTTGGCACTTCTTTTATTCACACACCCCATCACTCATTTACCCTTCCCAACACCCTTCACTGCCGTAATGCTTCTACTAATGTTATTTCCATCCATCAATTTACCAAAGACAACCATTGTTCACTGACCTTATATCCCAATTCCTACCGTGTTCAGGACCTTCAAACGGGGAATACATTTTTGCAAGGCCGGAGTAAAAATGGTTTTTATCCATTTTCAAGTTCTTCTGTGGTCCACCATGGAGTCTCTGCATTTGTCGGTGTTCGAGTGTCGGATGCTATTTGGCATTCGAGGTTAGGTCACCCTGCAATTTCTGTTTTGCGTAGTCTCATTTCCCAAAATAAATTACCTTTAACTGGTAATGCAACCTACGACTTTTGTTCATCATGTCCCCTTGGCAAAAGTCATAAGTTGCCATTTAAATTATCTTTTTCCCAGTCATCGTTTCCTTTGGAATTAATACATTCAGATGTATGGATTTCTCCTTCTTATTCAATTAATGGTTACAAGTATTATGTTGTTTTTGTGGATAACTTTTCTCGTTATGCATGGCTTTATCCTTTAAAGTTAAAATCTGAAGTTTTTCAAACCTTTGTCATTTTTAAAAAGCTTGCAGAAAATATGTTCAACACCAAAATTAAATTTTTTCAATCTGATGGTGGAGGAGAGTTTGTCAATTCCTCTTTTAAACACATTTCTCTCAACATGGCATTCATCATAGACTCAGTTGTCCTCATCATCCCGAGCAAAACGGTCTCGCGGAATGCAAACATCGTCATCTTGTTGAAATTGGCTTAACTTTACTTGCTCATGCGTCTCTCCCTCACACTTTATGGGATGACGCTTTTCAAACTGCAAATTATCTCATTAATCGTCTTCCCACCAAAATCTTGAATGGCGTCTCTCCTTTCCAAAAACTGTTTTCAAAATCACCCCAGTATGATTTTCTCAAAGTATTTGGTTGTGCTTGTTTTCCCTATTTACGTCCTTACACTGATTCTAAACTTAAGTTTCGATCAAAACAATGCATTTTCTTAGGATACTCCTTAAATTATCAAGGTTATAAATGTTATGATCCTACCACTGGCAAGTCTTTTCTGTCTCGTCATGTCGTTTTCAATGAAAAGAGTTTTCCATATAAAGAACTTGCTCCTCCGATCTTGTCAAACCCTAGTCAGTTGGACCATGTCCTCGACATTAATACCTTCCATTATACCCAACCACATTCGACCCCACGGACCCCTCCTTCCCTTCCAACACCGATTGTCGTCACCTCACTCCCTCACTCCCTACCACTACCTACTCTTCCGTCATCTACCCCAGCCTTCCATTCTCACCCACCAACTCCCACTACTCATGTGAATATTGAACCTGCCAACACCACTTCACATACTGTTCCATCCACTCATCCCATGATCACGCGTGGTCAACAAGGAATTCGAAAACCAAATCCCAGATATGCTTGCCTCACTAACGTTACTAATACTTTGGTTGAGCCCACATGTTTCTCACAGGCCAATAAGTCTTCCCAATGGCGCCAAGCAATGGCGGATGAATTCAACGCTTTACAGCGTACCGGCACTTGGACTTTGGTACCCTACAAGTCTTATATGAACGTGTTACCTAATAAATGGGTGTACCGCATCAAAAAGAACTCTGATGGTTCCATCGAGCGTTTTAAAGCTCGCCTAGTTACCAATGGCTTTCATCAACAAGAGGGCATTGATTTCTGCGAAACCTTCAGTCCGGTGGTCACACATGCCACCATTCGGCTCATTCTCTCTATTGCTCTTCACTTTCAGTGGCCTATCCGTCAGCTTGATGTTCAAAATGCCTTCCTTCATGGCACGTTGAATGAGGAAGTTTATATGCGCCAACCTGCAGGGTTTGTTGATCCACAGTTTACGTCTCATGTGTGTCGACTTCGACGATCCCTCTATGGTTTGAAACAAGCACCCCGTGCTTGGTTTCAATGTTTTTCCCAAAAACTAGAAGACTTGGGCTTCACGGCTTCCCAAGCTGACTCGTCTCTCTTCACCTATTTTGATGGCTCAACAATCATTTATCTTCTCATCTGTGTGGATGACATTTTAATCACAGGGAACAACAATGCTTACTTGTCTCAGTTCATTATGCAGCTTCGTACTCATTTTTCAATGAAAGATCTTGGGCCCTTACACTACTTCTTGGGGATGGAGGTTTCTCGGACGCCTTCTGCCTTCTATCTCACTCAATCCAAGTATATTTTGGAGCTTCTACAAAACTAATATGGCTGACGCCAAGCCCATCTCCACGCCAGTTCCCAGTGGTAAACGCTTGAGTTTATATGATGGTGAGCCTCTCTTAGATGGATCTTCTTTTCGCAGTGTTGTGGGCGCCCTTCAATACCTTCTATTTACATGTCCTGATATTGCTTACGCTGTCAACCAAGTGTGTCAGTTCATGCACTCTCCAACTATTGCGCATTGGGCTGCAGTCAAACGCATCTTACGGTATTTGAAAAGCACACATGATCACGGCTTACTTTACAAACCCAGTCATCTCACTCTCACTGCCTTCGCTGACACTGACTACGCTGGAGACCCTGATAATCGTCGTTCCACTGGCGGTCACTGCATATTTCTTGGCGATAATTTAATTTCCTGGAGTTCGAAAAAGCAACGTGGAGTGTCCCGGTCTAGCACAGAGGCGGAGTATCGTCAACTTGCCTATACTTCTGCCCATCTCTCATGGTTTCGCAATCTATTCCGTGATTTATATCTTCCATTACAGCCACCTCGTCTCTGGTGTGACAATATCAGCGCCATTGCTGTTGCTTCCAATCCCGTTTATCAAGCTCGCATGCGCCATGTTGAAGTGGATTATCACTACATCCGGGACAAGGTCATTCGCAAGGAAATAGAAGTTGGTTATGTGGCTACCACAGACCAAATTGCTGATTTTTTAACCAAGGGTTTGTCGTCTGTCCGCTTCCATTATCTTATCTCCAAGCTTCATGTTCGTCAACGCCCCGTCAGCTTGCGGGGGCATGATAAACCTAATTCGGATAAATCTCCAAACCCTAACAACCAGTCCACGTCAGCACCACCAATTCCACCACAACCTTCCCGCTGCAATCTGCAACCGACTAGCTGTACAACCTAGACAAAAGGAATGTTGCACATGGATACAACATTCCTTGACAACTAAGACTATCACATGGTTTCTGCACCTTGTGTTCTGGTTACTGCATCGTGGGCAGCGAGGACACCACTTGCATTTCATTTGTTTATTGCATGCGTATGTAACAATGTATGTATATAAAATCTGCTGTCCATTGCAGCATTGTATGTAGAAAACAATTATTGAATATCAAGTTCATTATTGTGTTCGGGGTTTGTCTAAACTCCAGCCATATAGAAAAGTCTCGTGGGGTCTTTAATTCCAGCCATAAAGAAAATTCTCATGGGGTCTTGTCATATCATCAAATATTATTAAGCATGTGATTCAACTTCTAACTATTAGCTATCTTTCCATTCTCTGCTATCCTCTCATCTCTGTGTAGCAATCGCGCGACTATGGAAGGTGGAAAGCTGTTAAAGGTTCTCTATACTTATCCGTTGGAGGGAATACTAAGGAAGGTGGGTTCACTTGCTGCTCAAGAAATCAGTCTTTTTCGAGGATTCAAAAAGGAACTAACTGAGCTTCGTCAATCAATAATGGCAATTCAAGAGTACTTAGGCGATGTTGCCTACCAACCACAGGATCGGGGCATGGCAGTTAGATAGTGGGTCAAGAAACTGAGACGTAGCTCATGATGCCGATGACGTCTTGGAGGAAATCAACTACGAAGTTCTCCGGCGTAAAGAAGAGCTTCAAAACCATTTGAAGAATAAGGTATTTAACTTAAAGAGTCATCAAAGTGTTGATAAGAATTGCTTATAGTTTGTTTTAGTTGTTTTGTAAATTGTTAGTTTGGTTAAGGGCATAAGTGTAATCTGTTAGAATGCCCACAATATATATATCAAACTTTGTGTAATTATCTGATTGTATTGAATGAAAGAAAGATATTCAGTTTCTATATGGTATCACGACCGTCTCGCCTCACGGCCTTCTCTCTCTCGATCCTCTTCGCTTTCGCTCCCAATTTCTAATATTTCTCTCTGAATTTTGCTGTGATTCTTCATTGTTCTTCTTCGATTGTCGCTTCGATCTTGTTGTTTGGTGTATTTCTCGCTGCAATCAGCCATGGCGACTCCGTCAAATTCGTCTTCTCCTCTTGAGTCGGTGCAAGCTCCAAACCCTAATTCGTCAAATTCTGCCATGTCTTCGTCTTCATATGCTTCTCTGACGATCCAAAACATTGGAAGTATGGTGCCAATTAAACTCAAACGCTCCAATTATCTCCCCTGGCGTGCTTTATTTGCTCCAATTCTGCGCAGGTAAAAGCTCCTTGGCATCATTGATGGTACTGAGGTCTGTCCATCACCTCTTCTTTCTGATCGCTCTATCAATCCCGACTTTGACATTTGGAATGAGAAAGATCATAACATTCTCATCTGGTTGAATTCTACTCTGTCTGAAGAAGTGATTCCTTTCACTGTTGGTGTCTCGTCGTCTCGGGATCTATGGATCAAGCTTGAGCAGCGCTTTGAAGGAGTCTCTGATGCTCACATTCATCAGTTACGATCTCGTCTCCAATCCATTCAGAAAGGTTCACAGTCAATTTCTGATTATCTTCAACAAATCAAGGAAATCTCTGATGCCTTGATGGCGGCTGGTGCTCCTGTCACAGATCGTGACCTAATTGCAGCTACACTGGCTGGCTTACCTGATGAGTTTGAATCTTTTACTGATTCTCTTCTTCTTCGTCTTTCCCATACAACTCTGGATGAATTGCATGGCTTCATGCTCACCAAGGAATTATCAATGACTAGAAGGAAGAAAGATGCTTCCTCTACCACCACAGAGCCTTTCCATGCCTTTGCTGCTCACTCGCTGCCTCATCTTTTGCCTACACCGCCACCGCACCACGCTTTTGCTGTTCAACCTCAGTCTTCTCGCGGCAATTACCGTGGCAGTCATCGTGGAAACTATAGAGGCAATGCTCGTGGACATCGTGGCAATTATAAAGGTATCCATTTTCGTGGCAATTATCAAGGCTTTCGTGGCAACTCTCAAGGCTCTCGTGGTATCCAGTGTCAAATATGTGGATCAAACCGTCATGAGGCTATTGACTGTTTTGATCGAATGAACCCTGATATATTTGGCAAAGTTCCTCCTGCTAAACTTGCTGCTATGTGTGCACACTTTTCATCCAAGCCCACTTCTTATTGGCTTATTGATTCGGGTGCAACTTCTCACATTACAAATGACATCTCTACCATTTCATCTCCTACTCCTTACCGTGGTGAAGACAAGGTCTACATTGGTGATGGTAAAGGTTTGACAATTACCAACGTTGGTTCTTCGTTTTTACATACTCCCTCTGCTACATTTAAACTGCAAAATGTTCTTCATGTACCACAAATGCAGCACAATTTACTATCTGCATATCAATTTCTCAAAGATAATTACTGTTCTTTGACTCTTAATTATGATGGATCCTTTGTAAAGGATCGTTCTACGGGGAAGACGCTTTTGCGGGGATCGGTTAAAGATGGTTTTTATCCCCTGCAATGTACATCTCAGTCATCTCAGTCATCTCATCGTTCTGCTACTTCACCTACTGCCTTAATAAGTGTCAAAGCACCGATTTCAGTTTGGCACAGTCGACTTGGTCATCCGTCTTCATCAATATTCAAGCGTGTTCTGTCAACAAATAAGCTTGCTCTCACAGGAAAGACTTCAGTGGATTTCTTTTGTTCTCACTGTGCTCTTGCAAAAAGTCACAAGCAGCCGTTCAGTTCTGTTAGTTCTACTTCTTCTTCTTGTTTAGAACTTTTACATTGTGATATCTGGGGTCTAGCTCCTGTTATGTCAGTGAGTGGATCTAGATACTATCTGTTGATTGTAGATGACTATAGTAAATATAGTTGGTTCTTTCCTTTACAATCCAAATCTGCAGTGTATTCTGTATTGGTTCAGTTCAAGAGTTATGTAGAAAACCTTCTTGGCAATAAAATCAAAGTGTTTCGTTCAGATTCAGGGGGTGAATTTACTAGCACTGCACTACAGAATTTTTTCAAAACTCATGGTATTATACATCAATTCAGTTGTCCGCATACACCTGAACAGAATGGTTGTGCAGAAAGAAAACATCGTCATCTGGTCGAGACTGCTCGCACACTTTTGGTTGCTTCTAATGTGCCTCATGTTTTCTGGGTAGAGGCATTTTCCACTGCTATATACTTGATTAATCGACTTCCAATTTCTGGCATGATGCAGTCTCCATGGGAATTATTATTTCATACTTTCCCTGATTATTGTCGGCTGAAGGTCTTTGGTTGCAGCTGTTTTCCATGGCTTAAGCGTTATACAACTTCCAAACTGGACAGCAAAAGTAAGTATTGCGTGTTCTTGGGGTACAGTCTTCAACATAAGGGTTATCGGTGCTTGGATCCATTGACACAGAGGGTCTATATATCTCGTCATGTTATTTTTGATGAATCTACATTCCCATTTCATCACTCTCACCCATTGTCCCCGAGTGCTTCCCGATTTAATACTGCATATCCAGTTGTGTCTTCAGTTGACTTGCAGTTCATTGTCCCTCATTCTTCCCGATCCTGCACTACTAGTGCCTCCCTTACTGTCCCACCTACTGCCCCTATTGCCTCACATGCTCCTACTGCCCCCACTGCTCATATTGCCCCTATTGACTCACATGCTGCTCATGTTGCTTCACATGCTGATTCTGTTGCTTCACATGCTGATTCTGTTACTTCACATGATCTACATGCTGCCACTATTGACTCACATGATCCTACTGTTGATTCCATTGGTCTTCCCATCTCGGTTCCTTCTGTCTCTTCTACTGTGCCCAATACTCATCCTATGCTTACTCGGTCAAAAGCAGGGATATTCAAACCCAAGGCCTTCTCGGCAACCAAGCATCCTCTTCCGTCTTCTCTTGATTTTGTCCCATCTACTTATTTGCAAGCTTCCAAGCATGCTCACTGGAGAACTGCTATGCAAGAGGAGTTTAATGCATTGCAATCTACAGGGACATGGGTTCTTGTACCCTCTTCTCCTCTTCACAATGTTGTTGGTTGTAAATGGGTCTTTCAGATTAAGAAACATCTTGATGGTTCTATTGATCGCTACAAGGCTCGCCTTGTTGCCAAAGGCTTTCACCAACAAGCAGGCATCGATTATAAAGAAACTTTCAGTCATGTAGCCAAGCCTGTTACCATTCGTATCCTGTTGTCTTTTGCTGCTCAGTTTCACTGGTTTTTAAATCAGTTAGACATTAGTAATGCCTTCTTGCATGGGGATTTACAAGAAGATGTTTTTATGCAGCAGCCTCCTGGCTTTACTGATCCCTCTTTTCCACATCATGTCTGCAAGCTTAAAAAGTCCCTTTATGGTCTTAAACAGGCTCCAAGGGCTTGGTTTGACAAATTATTTCAGGTGTTGAGATCTTTTGGTTTTCAGCAGTCTTCTTCTGATGCCTATTTGTTTGTCTTACGAGCTCCAACCTTGGTGATCATCCTTGTATATGTTGATGACATTTTGGTAACTGGTCCTAATGTTACACTATGTCAGCATTTTATCAACAAACTGAGCACTGTTTTTCCTGTCAAAGATCTCGGCTCATTGCATTATTTTTTAGGACTTGAGGTGCACAAGTCTTCTGAAGGCATATTCTTACACCAAGGCAAATATTTACTTGACCTTCTTCAGAAGACTAAAATGGATGGAGCTAAGCCCTGTTCCACTCCCTTAGGCACGGCCAAACTTGATCATACCGGTTCTCTCTTGTCTAATCCCACAGAGTATCGATCCTTAGTTGGTGCCTTGCAATATCTTACCTGGACTCGGCCAGATATATCTTTTGTTGTGAATCAAGTATGGCAATTCATGCATGCTCCGAGGGATTCCCATCTTCAAGCTGCTAAAAGAATTCTCAGATTTTTAAAAGGTACTCTCACCCATGGCTTATGGTTCAAACCCGGAAATCTGCACCTTACAGCATACTCTGATGCTGATTGGGCAGGGTGCACCTTTGACAGAAGGTCCACCAGTGGCTATTGCATCTTCCTTGGTTCTAATTTGATTAGTTGGAGTGCCAAGAAACAGCCAACGGTTGCCCGATCTTCTACTGAAGCTGAGTACAGGTCTTTGGCTCACACTTCGGCTGAAATAACATGGATCTGTAAAGTTTTCTGAGATATTGGTTTTCAACTACCTCAGATTCCTCATCTCTGGTGTGATAATATCTCTGCAATATCTTTAGCTTCTAATCCTGTTTTTCATGCCCGGACTAAACACGTTGAAATTGACTATCATTACATCTGTGAGCTGGTTCTTGCTCATCTTATCAAGGTCCAATATGTTTGTAGTCAAGACCAATTGGCCGACATTCATACTAAGTCTCTGTCTGGCAAAGATTCCTCTATCTTCAATCCAAGCTTTCTCTTGGTTCTTTTGATGCTTCCAAGTTCAGCTTGAGGGGGTGTAAAGAGTCATCAAAGTGTTGATAAGAATTGCTTATAGTTTGTTTTAGTTGTTTTGTAAATTGTTAGTTTGGTTAAGGGCATAAGTGTAATCTGTTAGAATGCCCACAATATATATATATCAAACTTTGTGTAATTATCTGATTGTATTGAATGAAAGAAAGATATTCAGTTTCTATACAACTTCCTTTCTCTCCCCAATCCCATTTTGTTTCGTCAAGAAATGGCACACAAGATTAAGAACATCAATGCGTCTCTGGCGGTTCTGAAGAGTGATGCATCTCTGATTCACCTAGTTGCAAGGAGAGTAGATGCAACCACCCCAGGCATGGGGAACAGAGAAACTGTCTCAAGCTTTGGTGATGATGAAAAGATCATTGGAAGGGAGGAGATTGTGTCAGGTATAATTGCAACCTTGATCGAGTCCAAGAATCAAGAAAAGAACCTTTCGGTTATGGCGATCGTGGGAATGGCGGGACTTGGAAAGACGACTTTGGCAAAATCAATATTCAATGAAGATGCTATTGGTAGACATTTTGATGAAAAACTGTGGGTGTGTGTATCTAACACCTTTGACGTTAATTTGATTCTAGATAGGATGCTCGAATCGCTTAACTCGGACAAGACTGGATTTAAAAGTCAGGAAGCGTTGCTTAATACTCTCAGAAAAACATTGATTGGGAAGAGATATATGTTGATACTCGATGATGTTTGGAATGAAGATGAGACTTTATGGAGCAGCTTGATGAGTTGTTTGTTAAAACTCAATTCTGCTCCCGGGAGCATTGTCATTGTTACTACACGCAGTGCCGAAACTGCATCGATCACAGAGACGCTGCCGCGATGTTGTTTGGGGATTCTATCAGTAGAGGATTGTTGGTCCATTTTAAAGGGTGAAGCTTTTCCAGATGGTAGTTCCACCCTAGATTCCGCTCGTGAAATCATTGGAAGGGCGATCGCTGAAAAGTGTGCTGGTGTACCATTGGTGGCAAAGGTATGCATTAATATATTATCAAAAATTTGCAGCATGTTCTCTTGTAATATTTATCTGTGAATTTATTTGTTATATTCTAGTTCTATTTAGTCGATTTAGTGAATGAGTGAAAAAAGCTATATTTTTAATTGAAAATTTGTGATAAATTCTATCGAAGTATATTTCTCAATCAAGAGTTTGAGAAGAGTTCTAACAACAAAAATTGTAAATAAAGTTAAGATTAATTTAGCCATTTTTCTAAGATTATTATCGGAACTTTAATCAACTGTTAATTTTTTTTCCCGTTATTTATTTTGCTAATTCAGTTGTTATATTTTTTATAAAATACGGAAACTATAACTAATGTACCACCAGGTTTTAGGAAGCATGATGCGTTCTAGAAATAGCACACAAGAATGGCTCTCAATTCAACACAATAAAATATGGGAATTACCAAAAGCAGAGGATAGAATCATGTCGGTATTGAAGTTGAGTTTTGATAATTTGAAATCGCCGTCTTTGAAGCAGTGTTTTGCATATTGCTCAATGTTATGAAAGATTGTGAAATTGAAAGGGATAACTTGATCGAGCTTTGGATGGCGCAAGGTTTTCTCCATACTTCTCCCACGAAAAATATGGAGGATATAGGGAATGAATATTTTAATATTCTACTGCAAAACTCCTTATTTCAAGATGCTATAAAAGATGAGTATGGAATGGTTACCAAATGCAAGATGCACGATTTAGTGCATGATTTTGCAGAAGAAGTATTTAAATCTGAAAGCTTGACCTCGGACCTCAATGAGATGGATGATACAGTCGAGATTCAGCATGTTGCAAGGATTTCTTCCACTACACTTGAAAGAATTCCACAAGGGAGTGTTAGAAGATTGCGGTCATTGTTTGTTGATGGCAAGGTCCCTAGTAGCATCTTACACAGGTTTACAGGTTTGCGGATGTTGAATTTATACAGGGCTAAAATTGAGGAGTTGCCTAGTTCAATTGGTGATCTAAGACACATGAGGTATCTGAACATTTCTGGGACTAAAATAAAAAAACTCCCAAAGTCTACTGGCAAGCTCTATAACCTTCAGACGTTAAGAATGTGTGAAACAAACTTTCTTAAAACGTTTCCAACAGAAATGGAAAATTTGATCAACTTGAGACATGTGTATTTCGATAAGGTTAGGAAAGTTCCATTTGGGATGAGAAGATTGACTGATCTGCAAACATTATCTTCCTTTACGTTGGATAAGGCGAGATGTCATGGAATTGATGAGCTGGGTGGGTTAAACCAATTGAAGGGAAAGCTTATTCTTAGATCATTGGGATGTGTGAGGGACAAGGAGGAAGCACAGAAAGCAAATTTAGTGGGAAAAGCAAACATCCAAAGGTTGGAACTTCGTTGGGGGTTTTCCAGGGCAAGAAACGCGAATCAGCATGACCGGGATATACTAGAAGGGCTCCAACCGCCACCGAAGTTAGAAAGCTTAAAGATTTTGAACTTCAAGGGTACCAAATTTGCATCATGGATGACGGGTGATTTGTTGCCAGTCAATTTAACAGAGATTGAGCTATATAATTGCACAGATTGCGAAGAAGTCCCAACACTCGGCCACTTACCAAATCTTAGAAGTGTTGTTTTTTATGGTATGGATAAGATTAAATGTGTGGGAGTCGAGTTTTATGGTTACAACTATGTTAAGAATGATGGGGTGGCTACAACCAGCAGAAGAAGGAACCAGACGTCCAGGGTGGCTGTGTTTCCAGCATTGAAAAGCTTGAGAATTGAGAACTGCCCAGCTCTAAGTGAATGGAAGGAACCGGTTGTTGAGGTAGTGTTTCCCTGCCTTGAGGAGTTGACTCTTAGGAATTGTATGGAATTGGGAAATGCTCCCACTCAGTTTCCGTCTCTCCGGGAGTTGGAAATATTCGCTGTTGATAACAGCTTGCCAATAGAAAATATATGCAGTCAAGTAACCACTCTCGCTTCTGTCGAAATATATGGTATTAAGGAGCTTACTTGTCTGCCGGCAGGGGTGGTGGAAAAGAACCACAATCTGAGGTCACTGGTAATCGAATATTGTGAAAAGATGAGGGATTTGTCTAATGCACCACACACGCTCCCTCTCCTTGAGAAGCTTATCATACGGCGCTGTCCTAGTCTTTTAGAGTTGACTCCAATTACACACGGCATACCATGTCTCCGTGAATTGAAAATTGAGTACTGTGAGAATCTGTCAAGCTTGTCTTTTGGGTTGGAAAATTGCAACTCCCTTGAGACGTTGGAGATTGCAAATTGCCCCAGTCTAACATTCATTCCAATTTCACCATCCCATTCTCTTCAGGAGTTGAACATATTTGGTTGCCCAAAGTTAAGCTGCATTTCAATTCACAGTCTGCCTTCCCTCCGCAAATTAGTTATTGAAAGATGTACTGCACTCATGGAGGAGGCTGGAGAGGAGGACGAGGACGAGTTGTCGTTAAATGGTTGCACATGCCTCCGTGTTTTGGAAATTAAAGAATGCAATGGATTCACAAGTATACTGAGTGGACTTCATTCCTGTACTAGTCTCCGCAAACTGTTTATCGAGGATTGTCCCAATTTGAGGACTTTGTCGGGTCATGGGATACAAACCCCTGTCTCTCTTGAAGATCTGAGTATCAAGAGTTGCCCTAATCTAGAGGCTGTTCCTGGTTTAGGCAACCTCAAATCCCTTCGTCAGTTGCATATTGAGAAATGTGGTGGATTAACAAGTATACCAAATGGGATCGCATCCTGCACTTCTCTTGCCACTTTGTCTATCATAGGTTGCCACAATTTGATATCTCTGGCAGATCAAGATGTGTCCACCTTGCAATCCCTTTGCTCTTTAAAATTGTCAGATTGTGGGAAATTACAATATTTTCCGAAGGGGCTGCAGTCTCTATCTCGTTTGGGAGAGATGTCGATCGGTGCGTACTGGGAGGAGCTAGTTTCTTTCCCGGATTTTCAAGTTCCATCACAACTTGAAAAATTAGAGTTGTTGGGATGGCCAAAGCTCAAGTCTTTACCTCAACAAATTCAAGACCTAACTTCTCTAACATGTTTGTCCATTTATGGTTTTGATGGAGTGGAGGCTCTTCCAGAGTGGTTGGGCAAACTTACGTCTCTTACACAGTTGCAAATTCGTGAATGTAAGAATCTGATGTATCTGCCTACCATCGAAGCTATGAAACGTTTAACCAAATTACAAGACCTAGAGATTGATTCGTGTCCCCGTTTGATGGAAAGATGCGACAAGAACTGCGGCGCGGAATGGCCAAAGATTTCCCACATTACAAATAGCAGTGGTAATATTTTTTTTCTTTCTCCAATTCAGCTATTCATGTATAATTTGTTCAATTCTCTTTGCTCACTTTTTGTTTCTGTATTAAGTATTAATTGAACATATTTCTTGACTAGTTTACTCGCATGACGAATCGGATAATCACTCGGAAGATTCCAATTCGACCCATTAGACGCCTCAACAATCTCGCATGGTTGGATATTCATGCTTTTAATCTTTAAAGAGGAATATCTGCATTGGCGAGTAGTGCCTGTCGAGATGGTGTGCAAGATTTACTCATGCTTATCGTTTCAAGTTTCACATTTAAGCAAAAGTAAGGTTTTCATACCACCACCTCCTCTTCTCTTTTGATGTACGTAGCTCCAATGTTGTTTCACTGATGGAGTCTATTATATAATTTCTTACGTGGTTTTCAGAAAGACATTTACTCAATTGGAACAACAAATGATGCGTAATATTTATGACCAAACGTTGTCCAGGTACTTCAATCCTTATCATTTGACATATTTACTTTTTTTGTTCTTCTTGAAATCTTGTGTTGATTATGCTTTTACTTCTGAAATATTTGTATGTATTGGAAGAAAGAATGGCAACTAGGGTTAGGTTAGGTTGCATGTTCACCGTACAAAGGATTTTAGGGTGATAGATAGTGTTGTCAATTCCCTTAATTCAAGGGATGTGTCTCTTGTTGTCAATTCCCTTAATTCAAGGGATGTGTCTTATTTGTCTTGTTGTCAATTCCCTTAATTCAAGGGATGTGTCTTATTTGTTCTTTTTTTGTTAGCTTTAGACGTAAATCAAGGAGGGATAGGTAGTCTTGTTTTCTTCCCTCTAACACATATGTATTTGCTATCTCTTGTACCTGATTGTCTTATGATGAATATATCATTCACAAAATTCAATATGGTATCAGAGCACCTAACCTGCCTATCTCTGTGGTGTTCTCTTGAGAGATTTGTGAGCTTCTTCTTGTCCTTCAATCATGGCTGAAGAAAGCTCAGTAAATTTGGAAGGAGACGGCTTTCATGCTACTCCACCATCACCACACTTAGATATTGATATCAACCGAAATCAACGTCTTAGTTCTGTCTTGCTAAATGAGTTTAACTATCTTTCATGGGAAAGAGCAGTTTCTCTTGCTCTGGGAGGATGATCAAAGCTTGGTTATGTTAATGGTGCTATTCCCATGCCTGAGACTACCTCACCGGAGTATGATGCTTGGCTATGCAAAGACCAGTTGGTCATGTCATGGCTACTCAATTCCATGGATCGTAAGATTGCAGAAATTTTTAGCTATGCTGAATCCTCCATTACTCTTTGGAAAAATCTCAAGGAAATGTATGGAAATCAGAACAATGCGGCTCATGTGTTTCAGTTAAAGAAGGACATTGCTGGTTTGCAACAGGAAGGGAAGCCATTTGTGCAACATCTTGGAAAGCTGACCACTATGTGGAACGAGCTGAATGTGTATCGACCACACACCATCGACGCTGCTATGCTAACTAAGAGAGCCGAGGAAGACAAAATATTCCAACTCCTAGCAAGCCTGAGCCCTGAATTCGAAGATCTTCGAAGCCATATCCTCATGAATCCCGACCTGCCTTCTTTTTCAAGTGTGTGTGCCATAATTCAAAGAGAAGAGGTTCGAAGGAAAGTCATGACCTTGGACATAAAGGCAAATATACCAGAAGCTAGGGCTTACTTCTCTAACCAAAAACTTGGTGAGGAGAGAGGCTACAAAGGAAAGAAAACTGGCTTAAAATGTAGCCATTGTGATGCTGGTGGGCACTCAAGAGACCGATGCTGGATTCTTCATCCAGAGTTAAAACCAAAGTTTCCTAGGGATAACAAAGGTGTCTCGAAAGGCTCGTACAACCCTTCTTACAAGGCAAATCATGTTGCCACAACTTCTTCTGAGGGAGCACTGAAGTTCACCACTAATCCAGCTGTACTGATCAACGAGTTTGCTATGTTTCTTCACAAGAAACAAGGTCTTGGAGATAATGAAGGACCACTAAATCAGTGTGACAACAATCAAACTACACTACTAGGATAGTTTGCTGGCTTCCTGGTTGGAAATGAAGGCGTTGTACAAAGGGACATCGTAGGTATCTTACACTCATTCTCAACTGCTCTCAACATTGGTAATGTGCATGATTATTGGATTATAGATTCTGGAGCCACTGATCATATGACTAACAAGTCTACAAACTTGCATAAATTTGAAATTTTTTCTATTCCATCTCAAGTGTCAGTTGTCAATAGAAAAAAATGCTATGGTTGTGGGAAAAGGAAAAATACATTTGATCTCAAGTGATGTCGAGTCTGAGGCTCTTTATGTTCCCTCATTCCCTTTTCAACTTTTATCTGTTGGCAAGATCACAAACTCATTAAATTGTCTTGCCATTTTCTCTCCCAAAAATGTGATCTTTCAAGATGTAGTCACCAAGAAGACGATTGGTGAAGGATTTTTCTTAAATGGTCTCTACTATCTTTCCAAGCATATTCAAGTTCCCAAGGTTTTTCAAGTCACTTCAAGCTTAGCTCAAGAACAACAACTTTGGCACCAACATCTAGCACATCCTTCTGAAAAAGTTCTATCCATCTTGTTCCCAAACATGTGCAAAGTTACAAGTCCTTGTGATGTTTGTCATTTTTCTAAGTTTACTAGATTACCATTTACTTCCTCTTTGTCTAGGGCTAGTAATCATTTTGAAATCGTGCATTCCGATGTTTGGGGACCAATTCTAGAGTCTTTTGATGGATACAAATATTTTGTAACTTTTGTGGATGATTTCACAAGGATTACTTGGTTGTATCTTTTGAAATTTAAAAGTGAAGTGATGGAAGTTTTTCAAGATTTTCATAGACTTGTGGCCACCCAATTTGCTTCAAAAATTCATATTTTACAATCAGATAATGGCACAGAATATATGTCTCATAACATGTCACACTACTTGAGCACGCATGGTATATTACACCAAACAAGCTGTGTTGGAACACCTCAACAAAATGGGGTGGCCGAGAGGAAGAATAGGGATCTACTTGAGAAGACTAGAGCTCTTAAGTTTCACATGAATGTGCCTAAGAAGTTTTGGTCTCAAGGAGTTCTTACTACGGCACATCTCATCAATAGATTGCCTAGTAAAGTGTTGAATTTTAAATCACCTTATGAGGTCTTGAAAAATAGAAAGATCAACTTTTCCCATTTGAGAGTCTTTGGGTGTACATGCTTTGTTCACATTCAAGCTCAAAATCGTGACAAGCTAGACCCAAGGGCTGCCAAATGTGTCTTTCTAGGTTATTCATCTACCCAAAAAGGTTACAAGTGCTATAATTCAACAACTAGAAAAATGGTTGTTTCAAGGGATGTTAAATTTGAAGAACATGTTCCTTACTTATCACAATCATTGGATTACTCTAGACAGGGGGAGCATTTGATGGACTTATTTCCTTTTCCATATCCAAACGGAGAAGATGCAACATGCACTCCTAGTGATCATGTGTCGGATGATGTTAATCTTCACTAGGTGGAACATCTTGAAGATGAAACCTCTTCCTCAACGGAGATTCACATTGCACCCTCCAGTGATCCTTCCAACCATGATGTTGTTCAAATACCTGTAGTTCAATCTCCTACAGTTCGTCGCAATCTTGCACGAGAGAGGAAACTTCCATCCAAGTTGCATGATTATGTGACCTACACTGCCAGGTATCCCGTGACTGATGTTATTGACTATAGCAAAGTCTCATCTTCTTTTGCTACATTCCTAAGTGCCATTAATGAAGCTCGAGAACCTCAAAGTTTTCAAGAAGCCAATCTTCACAGTGAGTGGAGAAATGCTATGGCAGAGGAACTTCAAGCCCTCCATGAAAATAACACATGGACTATAGTGAAACTTCCAAAAGGAAAGAAGGCAATGGGGAGTCGTTGGGTGTACAAAACTAAATTTCATTCAGATGGCACAATCGAAAGGAATAAGGCTCGCTTGGTTGCTCGAGGTTTTACACAAACCTATGGCGTCGATTATAAAGAGACATTTGCTCCGGTGGCAAAAATGAACACTATTAGAGTATTGTTGTCGGTTGCAATTAACAATGCATGGCCTCTCTTTCAAATGGATGTTAAAAATGCTTTCCTGCATGGTGAGCTTGAAGAAGAGGTTTACATGAAGTTACCCCCAGGTCATCCTAAATCAAACAATCCAAAAATGGTGTGCAAACTCCATATATCCATTTATGGTCTCAAGCAAAGTCCACGTGCATGGTATGCCAAGCTCAGCATGTTCTGGAAAGGGTTGGTTTTTGTCGAAGTATTGTGGATTCTTCCCTATTTGTTCGTTCCAGCTCAGTGGGTAAACTAGTTGTGCTCATTTATGTTGATGATCTAATTGTGACAGGTGATAATATGTCAGAGATTAATGCTCTTAAACAGTATCTCAACAAGTTTACTATCAAGGATCTTGGCACTCTCAAATACTTTCTGGGCATCGAGATGGCATACTCTCACAAGGGTTTCTTCCTCAACCAACGCCAAGTATGTCATGGATCTTCTTCACGAAGCAAAAATGACAGATTGCAAGCCTGCTCGTACCCCCTTGGATAGCAAGTTGAAGCTAAAAACTCACGGTGATCCAGTTCCCAATTTAAGTTACTATCAAAGAATGGTTGGCAAACTCATTTATCTAACTATCACATGTCCTGATATATCATATGTTGTCAGCATTGTTAGCCAGTTTATGCACTCTCCAAGCATGAATCATTTGAAGATTGTTCATCATGTGCTACGTTATCTTAAGGGTTCCATTGGTAGAGGAATTCTTATGCGCAACAATAGTCACACTCAGATCTCAGGCTATACCGATGCTGACTGGGCAGGCAATTCTCTCGATCGCAAGTCTACCACTGGGTTTTGTACGTTTGTGGGAGGCAACCTAGTTACCTGGAAAAGCAAGAAACAAAGTGTTGTTGCACGCTCTAGTGCAGAGGCAGAGTATCGTGCTATGGCGTTGACTGCTTGTGAACTTATTTGGCTCAAAAGCCTTCTGTTGGCTTTAGGTTTTCCTCATCAACAACCTATGTCCCTACACTGTGATAATCAAGCCGCGATGCACATTGCATTGAATCCTGTATTCCATGAGCGAACTAAACATATTGAAGTTGATTGTCACTACATCAGAAATCAAGTTCAGTCCAAGGTGATCGATACTCACTACACGCGCAGTCATGATCAACTTGCTAATATTTTCACAAAAGGATTAACCTCTGCTAATTTTCAGCGTCTTTTGTTCAAGCTTGGATCAATTAATCCTTTCCAGCTTGATGGGGAGTATTGGAAGAAAGAATGGCAACTAGGGTTAGGTTAGGTTGCATGTTCACCGTACAAAGGATTTTAGGGTGATAGATAGTGTTTCAATTCCCTTAATTCAAGGGATGTGTCTCTTGTTGTCAATTCCCTTAATTCAAGGGATGTGTCTTATTTGTCTTGTTGTCAATTCCCTTAATTTAAGGGATGTGTCTTATTTGTTCTTTTTTTTGTTAGCTTTAGACGTAAATCAAGGAGGGATAGGTAGTCTTGTTTTCTTCCCTCTAACACATATATATTTGCTATCTCTTGTACCTGATTGTCTTATGATGAATATACCATTCACAAAATTCAATAGTATGGAATACGGATAGTAGATTTTAAAGGAGTGGATTTTATTTTTTTTTCTTTCCAGAGTGGCTGGATAACCTTGCATCTCTGACTTTGCTGCATATGACGAGGTTGGTACAATGTGATGTATCTACCTACCGTCGAAGCTTATGCAACACCTTACTAAATTGAGAGAGCTAGAGATTGAACTCTGCCCGTCTAAAGGTAATTATTTTCTCGTATCAATTATTTAGTATTTGTTTGTTTCGATGCTATCTTTCTTTTCTTCAGTTTTGAACAAAAATCTCCGTTGATCAAGATTACTTTCAAATCCTACTTGCTTCAAGGTGCACCATTGAGGACTGCGATAATCTGCTTGTGGTCGAAGCTATGCAGCGTTTCACCAAATTACATGAGCAAGTGATTCGTAGTTGTCCGTCTCAAGGAAAGATGAGCCAACTGGCCCACAACAGCCCAAGATTTCTCAAACCCAAAGTATTGATGGCAACTGTTTTCTCAAATCAAATTATTCATGTTTGTTGAATTCGTGTCCCTCAAATTTATCTTTTTCTTCATATTACTGACCAAACGTCGTTTTTCATGCTTCAGTTGGCATAATTTGTTGGTTATCAGAAGGGTCTGAATCAATCGGAACATCAAGTGACCTGCAATAGGTGCAAACTCGGTCCAGGTACTTCAGTTCGCTTTCCCCTGCATCATTATTTACTCATTGCTATTGGAGATCATGCAGATACAAGATGATAGTAATCGATGAGAGATACCCTAATAATCATATATATTATTCATACCATACATTTTTTTGTGAATTCATAAGGTCACTTACTAAGTTACTACTACGGATAATATATACAATTATTCCTAGAAATCGTTTTGGTATATGTGTATGGGATGTATTACGAGGTTTATTACCTTCGATCCTTAACATATGGGATATATAAATTTCCCAAGAAATGTTGTGTTAATTTTGTTTCTACTTTAAGTTTTGTTTGTTTTCATCTGCAGCTTTCTAGGTCCTTATCTGTCACAGAATGGTTCTCGCCCCACGCTATACTGAAACTTTGGTGTCGGAGGAAGGGCTCAAGATGGCCTTGGATGCGGACGAAATTATTCGTCGTCTCACTTGTTAGGAGGAAGATTTGAGTAGGAGGGACATGATCAGTTGGAGGAAGCTAAACCTTCTGCCCCTGAGCTGTAAACTGTGGCTCATGAACTTGCCCATGCTGCTCTAAAGGAGAATTCTGGTTGTCATCGTTAAATTCATCATGATATATTATGTATTGAACCAGCGTTTCAAAAGGAACGTCACAAATCCAACCCACCACTTTGCTGTGATGTATGGGATTTGTAGGCCAAATTCTATCGTTACCACGTTAATCAGCATCTTGAGATGTATGGGATTTGTATGGGAAAGTCTTAAGTGTTAGAGTTGCCATCTTTTATATTATTCGCATTGTTTGTTCCAGTTTTTGCTATAAACCATTTCATATTAATATATTTGATTTGTGTATGTAAATATTCTGACGTTTTGTTTTTATAAAAGGCAATACTTTTTGGTAGAGTTTAAGGGTGAACTTTGTATCACTTGTTCGACGGACTCTGCGTAGTCCTTTTTTTTTTTTGCAGGTTTTCTTTAAATGTAAATTCCATCGAACTTCAGTCACATTATTCGTAAATAATGTCCATACTCAGAATGTGACGCTTCTTCTCGCTGTCTGCAAGTTCTCTCCACTCACAGACGAGACACAGTTTTTCTTAGAACACTTTTGTGGAAGGTAGTCTCTTTGGTCTACATGCAATGTCCTCCACCTGCTCTTCCTTGAATACATCATTTTCCTCCTTTTTTTTTTTTTTTTTGGTCAAACCTTGAATACATCATTTGAGTCATTTGAAATGTGTGAAGTATATGATTTAACCACTGATCAATTTTGAATTTTTATTAGTATTTGAAGGTCCACCATGAGGGCGAGCCTTGAAAACAACTCATTTGCGATTGAAAGATCACGGATTTGAGCCGTGAAAACAATATCTTTACAAAATAAGAGTAGACGTTCTCCCGACCCTCGCAAAACAATGTGCTTGTTGACTTGGGGTCGCCCAGTCCCCCATTTGAAGCTCGCGCCATCTGGATTCCTGGTTTCTGTCTTTCCCTGGATATTTGTATTACAAATTTCAGATGCAGATTGGAATACTTCTTTTGGATGTAGATTATCAAGCACTCTCTCCATTTGAAGAATGGAGATGACAGATCGAATATCGTACCGTACAAACAAGCAAGCCAAATTTCCACTAATCATTACTAGGAAGGAACTGTTTTCGCATTCTAAGGCCTTTTTATTACTATGATAAATGTTGTCACGTTCTTTAAGAGAGAGGATCCTCGCCGGATCCTTTTTGTGAGGATCTCGGAGATCCTCTAATCACATCCGTTCATCGTGCATCGTACGGTCAGTTTTCGTCAAATACTGTTTATATTCAATTTTAAATAAAAAAAATTACAATGATTTCTGACCACACAATGTACGATTCATCGTACGGTCAGTTTTCGTCAAATACTGTTTATATTCAATTTTAAATAAAAAAAATTACAATGATTTCTGACCACACAATGTACGATGAACGGATGTAATTTGAGGATTCCCCGAATCCTCACAAAGATGATCCGGCGAGGATCCTCACTCGTTTTCTAAAACTACGTCTTATTGATACTTAATTTTGTGTAGTGTTTCATCCATATGTTCTTCCTAATAAATAAAATATTTTTAAAAAAAAATTATTATTAAGAAGAGGAAGAGAGTTTGAAACTATTACAATAATTTAAAGAAAGAAGATTTGCGAACCCCAAAAGAATTGGTGGAAACTCAACATACTATCCACTAAAATATTAGATCACATGCATCCTAACAAGTAAACTTGTCATTTTGCAATTAAAAATTACTATTACAATTAAAATACATCCGTTATTTGTTCTTACAAACTTACAATCTATATAAATTTGCTCTTAAAATTACAATAAAAAATATTTATATAAAAGAGAAGGGTTAATTGCATAAAACTATATTATGTTTAGCAAGAATTGAACCTGCTTATATACCCCATTTTTTATAATTCCCACTCACATACCATGTGTCACTTTTAGTTGCAATGTTAACCTCTGTTACATCGATGTCACATGAAACACATGACGTGATCATACTTGAGAACGGATCTACTCTGGATCTCACTTTCTGAAGCCTAAAGATCAGTAAATTCGAACCACACAAATTGAGTATGACGTTCACCATTCATTCCGTTTGCCCATCTCACACAAATCGATGACTCTGATTTTTTTTTGACATAAATCAAATGCCAGATTTTTTGGTCCTTTGACTCCAGACACTAAGGTCCGGAGAGGATTTAAACTTGTCATACTTAAAGCGCATGATGCACAAATTCTTTTCATAACTCGACGCATGAATCTCAATAACACAATATAATCATCATGCACTCCTCCAAGCGCACTATTGATAGGGGTGATGCTTTAATGTGCATAAATCCATTTCATCGTCAAAATAATGTACCGTGATTAGCAATTGAATACTTTGAATGAGTATAGTTGCATAAACTATACAATGCACAGATGGATCAACTTACTTGTAACATGTCATTTAATCAATGTTTATGACAAAGTAAAAGAGGAACATTCTGACCTTTCGTTGTCAATACAAAATCATAAAATCACACTGTACAAAGTTCAAATCTGTGTATTCTGTTCTCTCCAACGCATGCTTTGAAATCCAACACAAACTGAATAGTTGTTGCCTTGCCTAGTTGGATATGTGTCAGTTATCTTGTTTTATGATGTGTCTAAAAAACAATAAAAAAACACACCTTCGGCTCAATCATTTTCTAGAATATTTATTTATCCAGAAAAAATATTTAAAAAATAATAAACGATAAAAGGAAAACGTTAGGAAGATCACACTTTGTATATCACGAGAACCATCTATCTAATAGAAATGAGACCTAGTTGTATTGGTGTGCTCTATTTTTCTTAGAGAGTTGATTCGCATGTAATCTACAAAAAAAGCATCACCCGACGACAATATTTCGGTGTATTTCATACACAAAATTTTTTAATTGTTAAAGCCTTGTCTATTTATATGTGGTAAAAAATTTCAATGAATAAAGCATTGAATTACCACTTAAGCCTCGAATTTGAAATTTTCCTTTTTCTAAATTTTTGTAATAGTTTCAAACGTTTATTTTTCCCTTAATAATAATAAAATTAAAAAAAAAAACTTTCTCATTATATCATTCCATCTTTGATCTAACGACACGAAATCTCTGAATATAAGATAAACCCGAAACATACTAAAAGAAACAAATAACCATGTCGGGGTGGAGTCACCATTCCAGTTAAGGATTGAGTTGCATGTGGGAGGTACACAGAAGAAGGAATCCCAACTCATTGGTGGAGGCCCACAGCACCACAGCTCGACAATACCTGGAGTTTGAACGTGCATGCAATCTCGCCCGTCCACGTGGAGGCCCTCCAGAGCGTAGGATTTGGGGTGGGAGGTTGGCTGTAATTATAAGCCAGAGTGGCCGTTTCCTTTGCGGAAAGATTCTCCTTAGTCCGACTGTCGTTTTAGGCTTTTAGGGTTGTCGTATGAGATTCTTCTGTATATAAATCGAACCCTGAGAGATTGACCGCCACCCTCATTTGGCTGAAAGCTTGAATTGGAGAAGAGAAATCCCATTGGGGCCGCTTGGGGGGCGAGAGAGAGAAAGCTGTTTGGGAAGTGAGAAAATTTTACAGCTTTTAGAAAAGAAAAGAAAAGAAAATGGAGATGTTGAAGGTTCAATTCTTTGTGATGGCAGTTTTTGCCCTTGTTATCTCTCTCCTTCTCCCTTCCATCAATGCTCAAAGCCTTGCTCCTGCTCCTGCCCCAACAAGTGATGGTTATTTTCTCCCCCCCCTCTCTCTTTAAGATGCGATGGAGAAATGATTTCCGCACACGGTTTTCTCTTTATGCAGAAACTAAATAGGGTTGCAGACAGAGAAAAAATGTGTGCGGAAATGATTTTCAATTCCCAATGCGATAGTTTAAATGCTCTAACCTAATGCGGGTGTTGACGCTAACCAACTGGCTTAACCCGCGTCTGCTGTCTTTCTTTTTATGTCATGTGGTTGTCTTTCTTTTTATGTCATGTGGTTGTCTTTCTTTTTATGTCATGTGGTTGATGGATGTGGTGTTTTGGTATGCAGGGGTGGCTGTGGATCAAGGAATTGCTTATGGGTTGATGGTATTGGCATTGCTTCTCACCTACATTATTCACTGATGAATCTGGATGAGCATTTTTGGAGAAATCAAGATGGATGATTTTATAGAGAGAGAGAGAGAGAGAGAGAGAGAGAGAGAGAGAGATTAATTCTTCAAGAAACATGTGAAGGGAATTGTTGTTGCATCTTCTTCTTGCTAGGCTTTTGCTAGCTAGCTAAGCTATGTTCTTGTTCATTTGTTGCTACCATTTTTATCAAAATCCCTAATTCTTTCAATATCAAGATTCACCATTTTTCTTCTATTATCCTCTGTTAACATGATCTCTCTCACACACACACACACACACACATTTTTTTTTAGTAATTATTGAAATTATTGACTTGAGCTAAAGGGCAATTTTAATCACTTCACGACTCAGTAGGAAGATAAGGATTCTTACCTGTAACAAGTGGTGGTATCAAGATTCGAAACTTGAGGTCCTTGTGTTAAGTGCAAGTTTTTAAGATAGAAATAGAGCGCGAAGGGTGTAAAATTTCAATTTTTTCCCTGAAGCATTTCGTCGAATATTTGGTGAGCTTGTTGTTAGCCGAAGCAATCTGATGATATTGATAGAATTGGTCGAGTACTCGACACAACCTGTTGAGATATGCCTTACCACTAAACATTCGAAGGGTCAGAAGACATATATCCCGTAACCGAGAATGAATTCCTTTTCTTTTGGTAAGTCTAATACCATCTACTTACCAAGATCAACGTTCATGTCGCCAAAAGGAAAGACGTGGGAACATCCTTTTACTTTTGGTCAATTTAGAAGGAAAAGTAAGTACTTTTGAATTCAGGACCACAACATGTTTACCACTCCACTTTAGAGAATGTGGAAACTTACTGCTTGTGGTGTGGGAAAGCAACGAAAGTCTTGTTTAAAAGCGACATTTTAAAAACACTTTTAAACGAGTCCGAATCTATTTGCACTTGTATTTCTTAGTTTCAATTAAGGTATTCCATGTTTAGAATATTACATCACGACAAGGGAGAATATGCTCTACAATCGGGATATATACGCCTACATCATTCATTATGCTATTAAGCAGTGCGTGATTTATTATGTGATGGGATTTGCAAACAGAAACACAATCTCATCTATCTTTTTTGTCTTGAGAAATATTTTCACACTCCAATGTTACTCCGTTGGACTTTCCCTTTCAAACCACAAGATTGTATAAATCACGGTGAATTAAGACACAAACAAGCAAATGAATGCAGGAATACTTTTACAAAAGTACACAATTAAACCTGATGCCTCTTTCTTCATCAAACTAGGGAGAGAAGGTGAAGTTATTGGCCTTGTATTTACTTCCCATCGTTGACTTGAGTCAACCGCCGGTGAAGAACCCGAAATACTGACCTAAAAACAGCTCCGGCCAAATACAATGGAGAAAGCAAAGAAAAGAACAGAAAATTCATATTATTGACTTGGTAATACTAACACACAATAATAGAACAAGCTATTTGATTAAGGCATGCCGGATGACAGACGAAGAACAACATTGAACAAATGTCCCAAAGTAAACTTAAAAGAAAAAAAAAAGAGAAAAATCTGAGGAATAGCAGAATACAAGTTTCAAAGGGGACTGTTTCATTTTGTGCCACCTTTATATACATTCTGTTTAATAATGAAGCCACACAGAAATCCAGAATGTGTGATCGGAGCAGAAATCTCCATTATAAAATCAGACCAATCCTTTACATAGCCTCGACTCATCCTACCGGAGAATGAATACCTGCAAACAGCCTCGACTCTTAAAGTGCCATCTCAGCCTGCAAAGCTGCCAATTCATCTTCTTCTTCAGTGCGCCTTTGGGGAGCAGGGCGAGTTGGTTGCCTTCCTGCTGGGACCTGCACTGGTGCTGCAGGAGCTTGTGTTGCTGGCTGAAGAAGTTGTTCCTCCAACTCTGCACCTTCCAGCTCTTCAAGTTCTGCTTCCAATTCATCCTGCAAATAAAATCGTATAAACTTCTAAGCAGCCGTATGCAAACTGATACTTTTAACCCCATCCCACCGGTAAACCATGAGGGCTAACAAACACATATCCTTTACAAAACCAATCATCGAAGGGATAAAAAATGAAAATGAAAATGAAAACGAGAATGCAAACCTCATCAAAATCAGCAACTGCACCAATTGGAGTTGACAATGCTTCCTGTATCTGTTTCATGTTCTCCGTTTGCTCATTAATCTCATCCATAGTCTTGTCCACATCATCTATGTTCCTGTACCAAAAGACACACATTTCAATTATGTCAGGGAACACCCGTAATTCAATTATTCAGATGCCAAAATGCCATGTGGCATACAGGAAATGAAGAAAAAAACATAGAAAGTAAGCAATGAGTAATATTATACACTCAAATTATTTGCATCTCCTAATCAAGCTTTGATCAGAAGTGCAGGGCAACAATATTATAACTGATCATTCCAAACAAAACAATTCAATATGTTACAGAAAAGAAACTAGGTTTTCAGTTGAACTATATTTTCATATTCAGCCTCTGAAATAAAATGTAGATAGCTCATTTGACAAAGAATGGAAAATCAGTAGACAAGGAAACTTAACGACTTGAGCATATTATTAGAGCAAAATTCCAGTGGAAGTGCAAATACCCTCTATCAATAATATAGTGCTACTTACGTTGCTTTTTGCATTGCCTTCATTGCAGCAGCTCCAGTTCTCAAGGCATCTACAGTTTCAGTTGTGGCTTTTGCACCTTCTAGCATTATCATCTGCAACACCAATACAGAAAAATCTCATTCATCAACACAAAAAATAAAAATAAAAATAAAAAAATAAAGAAAGTATAATATATTAAAACGATCAACAACATTTGAAACACTATAGAAAGCATGACGGAATATAATTCCATTCTCATCATTACCTGATCATGGATACGCAACTGGAAATTTCCAAGCTGCTCTATTTGCTGCTCATATAACCGCTTCCTCTTCAAACATTGTATAGCCGCTGCAAAGTAGCAATATAAGTTGTAACTCAACACAGCACCAGAATTTCAAAAGTCATGGCCAAATTGTTTGTGGTTTTAGATCCAAATCGTACAATGGGATCCCCAGCCCCTCCGAAATTTCCAACTTATGGACAAGATCTCATCAGGTTACAATCAGCATTCATATCTTTGGCCAACTTTAAGGAGTATAAAACGAATTAGTACATACAGATAATAATGAGTCTAGTCTACAGCGCCAACATGTTCAATTGGTGCTGAAACCAGTGGCAAAAAGATAAAGAAATCCCAACCACTGGTAACAACAGATGGATGCAGACATATTCATGTCTACATAATCTAGGTGCAAAATGTGAAACTATTGGATAAACGGATGTGCAAAATGTGAAACTATTAGAAAATCACCATTCAAATTCACATAAGAAAAATGGAAACACTTTGCAAACATACCCCTTTTGTTCTTTGCTCTGGTGAAATCCTTGGCCCTATCAACTTCTCCAGCAGCCTTCTTTTGCAGTACTTTCTCCTTTTTCTCAAGCATTTCAAGCGTCTGTCGAACATTTACCAAAATATATTCAAAGAGAAATCCAATCGCATCAACCAACTCAAAGAAAACAAAAAGAACTACACAAGAAACAGTTCATTTGGCACCATAACCTCCCAAAACTAAATTCTAAACTATCCACAAACCCAAAAAGAATCATCGATATACCAAAAGTTCGAAACACACAGTAAAGTTATCAAATTTTCAAAACCCAAATCAATCAAACAAACAGAATCACCAAGGAACCACACAAATTCAAATACTTCATCAAACACCATCCATGCGAAACAACACATAACGGCGAATGAATCGAAATTTTACCTCATTCAACTTGTCTAAGGTGGTGAGGGCACTGTTTTCCTGTCTGGGTTTCCCAAAAATCCTGGTAAACATGGTTGAAATCTTCGCGGATTATGAAACCCTCTCGATCTTCTACACAATTCACAATCAAAAAACCGTCAACGCAACCAAATCGAGAAAAACCTTAATCCCACCCAAATCATCGAAATTTTCACCCAAAAGAATCATCGCAACGTTCATCGGAAAACAATCAGAACATACAGACGTGCGGGTACAACTTGGGTATGTAAGCGTACCTCGAAATCACCGGTGGAAATTGGGGGAAGACGACGGATCGGATTGGGGAAGTTAGGGCTTTGATGGAGAAGAAGATGGGGGAGGAGAGAGAGAGACCCGCGTAAACTGGGCGAGAGGGCTCTGCCGATTTGCTTAGGCGTGTTGGTGTTGCGTTGGAATGAGAAGGGAAGCTGCTTTGCCTTTTTCTCTCAGTTTTTCCTCTACGTTGTTGATTGGAGTTATGCTTTTCCACGTGGCGCGATGGATGGATTGTGGGGCCGGTATGGGTGCGACGGACGGCTGGATGGCGATTTGCCTAGTGGGACGGTGTCGTTTTGCAGTCAATAGTTGGTCGTTTCGGAGTGGACACTGATTAGTTTGGGTTGCAAATTGCAATTGTAAATCTAGGACCTAAACTGAGGGAGATTCTTGTAATTGTCAATGTAGTAGAAGTGGGAAATGTTTCTAAGCTAAATAGTGGATTGGTGGCCTACGATGCAGGTTGAGTTGGTAAAAATCGTCATCTTCGTCACATTAAGATCTAGTTTCAAGTTTTGTTGTTAGAAATCTAACTTGGAGGGCGATCCATAAAAACAAAAAAATGGGTTGGATCCCTCAGTAAGTTCTCAAAAAGACTTCTACTATGTGGTCATACGATGGGATAACCTCCTCTCTTCCTAAATTTTTTGTTAACGAAATATAATGGATCAGTCATATTAGGTGTAAAACTCCTTATTGTATAATAATTGATTCCGAAACTTCTTTCTCATCGTTATCGTATGATCATTGACTTAATTCCTACATTATAATACATATAAACATAAACATTATTGTCACATCCTTGAAATGCTTGTTAATTATTAGAATGTTTTATAAAACTCAAATGTGATTTTTGTTTCACTCTCTAAGAATTTGACTTTGTTATATTTTGCCCCCCAATTCGCTACGTGTCTTACTTTTCCCCTCAATATCTAAATTTAGAAAATGATTATTTTGCAAATCTAAATTTATATTTATAGACAAGTATAAGATGAATCAATTATGTTGTCACATTCAAATCTCGACTCCACCGTAATATGATATTGTCCACTTTGGGCCTCGTTCACATTCTCACGGTTTTGTTTCTAGGAACTCACAAGAGAACTTCCTACCCATCCAAGGATTGCTCTCATTCGAACTCGCTTAACTTCGGAATTCCGATGGAACCCAAAGTCTGTGAGTTAAGGTCTCGTGTTATATGGAGGTGGGCATGTATATATAAGGCACATCACCCCCTATCCGTTGGTCGATGTAAGATGTTACATATGTTTTATATATAAAAAAAATAAAAAAAACTGTAACAAAACACCCTATTTTTTTAATTATATAAAAAAATCACCCTATAACATTTCTCATAGAAAAAAATCACCCTATACTTTCACATGATTTGCATCCTACACCTTTATATAACTCTGAAAAAGCGTTGCTTTCTCGTCCCTCACTCCCTCGCGTTCCACGTGAGGTCACACCTTCTTTGGCTTCTGTTGGTTTTTGGCACTCTCCTGAGAGACTCCCACCTAACCCAAAATTTCAACCCCCTCCATATCATTCACCACCTCCACAAAGCTCACTCTGCAAATCCATGGCGTCCTGCAAATGGGTCCCTTCGTTTTTCACAGTGTTACTGATTCTCCCGCTTCTCAGTTCTTCAACCAGTTCTCTGAGCCCGGAAGAGTTGGCCCAAATCCCGGTGAAGTTCTTCGACTTCGCCAAAAGGCAGGAGCTTTTCGATTACATGGTGGGAGTCAGAAGGACGATACATGAAAACCCAGAACTTGGTTTCGAGGAATTCAAGACCAGTAAGCTTATCAGAGACGAACTTGATCGGATAGGTGTCCGTTACAAATACCCATTTGCTGGAACTGGCGTTGTCGGCTTTGTTGGGACCGGCGGACCCCCGTTCGTTGCGATTCGGGCGGATATGGATGCTCTGGCTATGCAGGTTTAGTAAATTTTGGAGCTTTGAATTGATTCTGTAGAAAGGGAAGTGCTTTCACTAGAAGTGTTTTAGAAGGAGCTTGGCAGTGCTAGAAATAGCGTTCTATGACCCACAAGCCCTTTTAAATTTTATTTTCAGATGCAGTTAGAAGCGCTTTTAGTGGCCAGCAAGCACTTTTAGTTCTTCTCTAAGCAATTTCAAACCTGCGCTTATATTACTATTTCGGTCACTGTTGCATTGCTGAGTGGTAGAAATTGGTGATTTTAGACTGGTGTTTTGAATTAAAGCCAATGAGGAATTTGATGGAAATTGTTTGTTTTGTTTGGTTTGGTGCAGGAGAGCGTGGAGTGGGAGCACAAGAGTAAAGTTGCAGGGAAGATGCATGCTTGTGGACATGATGCTCATGTTGCCATGCTTCTTGGTGCTACAAAGATACTTCAAGAACATCACCACAAATTACAGGTTTTTTCTTTGGACGACTTCTTAAAAGAATGAATCTATATACTGGCCCTCAAATGTCAATTGCTTTGTGAGTTTGGTTGCTTGATTGCGTTGAATCTGTTGTGTTCTATTTACTGGTTAGTTTTACGGGTTGAATTCGTTACTTGAACTTAGATTTAGTTGACATAAATTTATGTTCAAAATAGTCATTTCAGATAGGATTCATAGGAAAGCTTGGTTCTTGATTCATGTACGGGTTACACAAACATCAGGGAGTACAAAAAAACAAAAATCATGTAGATATATGCAACCCCTGTTTGGACAATGATCACAATCCGAAGCATCCCAGTTAGCTAATTTAATTTATTAGTCCTTTAGTCTGTCAAATTTCTTTTCTCTACTTCCTTGCACGATTGTAGAAGATTTGCATTATTCAGTTGATTTCTAAATCATTTGCATGTAGGAAGTTGCTTGTTGACGAACGTTTCTACATAAAGAGCTCTATCCTCCCTTTATTTTTAGAGTAAATTGTAGCTATGGTCCCTTAACTTTAACTCAATTGGAGCAATGGTCCCTCAACTAAAAATCCATTACCTTTGGTCCCTCAACTTATCAAAACGTGCAGCTATGGTCCCTCAACTAAAAATCCATTACCATTGGTCCCTGAATTTTAATTCAAGTGGAGAAATGATCCTTTAACTTTAACCTAATTGTAGCAATGGTCCTTCCAATATAACTCGTTTTGACAAATTTTTTGACATAGTTGACGAAAAGAACCATAATTATACACTTTGATGAGTTGAGGGACCCTAATTATATAAATGGTCATTCCAACATAGCTTATTTTGACAAAATTTTGACAAAATTGATGAAAAGGACTATAGCTACACATTTTGATAAGTTGAGGGACCAATGGTAATGGATTTTTAGTTGAGGGACCATTGCTCCAATTTGATTAAAGTTGAGGGACCATTTGTACAATTTACTCTTATTTTTAATTCCACAATGCGGGTTCTAATTGTAGATTACTGTGTATGTTAGCTGGATTTCAATGTCGTTGGATGTCTCTCTTATATATGCAAGAAAGTTTTTTTAGTTGTTTCTTGTGTTTCTTATAGGGTACAGTTGTTCTTGTTTTCCAACCAGCTGAGGAAGGAGGTGGAGGAGCAAAGAAGATGATAGATGAAGGGGCTCTGGAGAATGTTGGTGCCATCTTTGGGTTGCATGTCTCTTCTGGTGACCCCATTGGTTCAGTGTCTACCAGGTCTGGCCCTTTTTTAGCTGCCAGTGGTTTTTTTGAGGCGGTAATAAGTGGGAAGGGGGGTCACGCCGCCATCCGCAACACACAATAGACCCGATCTTGGCTGCTTCAAATGTTATCGTTAGTCTGCAGCATCTTGTTTCACGTGAAGCCGACCCCTTGGATTCACAGGTTCCCTCTCTCGCCTTCTCTCTTTGCTTGGTTGTGGTTGTATAATCCATTTTTTGTTCCTGTTATTGCTCTACCGCTTATTTCTATTTTGATTAAAAGTTCCACCCAGATCAATGTTGCTTTCGAATATTGCAAGCTATTAAATACTTTTTTTCCCATATGGTGCCACAGTGCCAGTCATTCACCTTTGTGTTAGTTTTAGCATCTTGTTTATATGCTGTTTTGGACCCCTTTTGCAAGGAGTGGCACTTCAGTTAGTCCATATCCATTTCAGTTACATGAAAGCATATCTTGCAGGTTGTTACTGTTGGAAAGTTCCAAGGAGGCGGTGCGTTCAATGTCATTCCCGATTCTGTTACAATTGGTGGGACGTTCAGGGCATTTTCGAAGGAAAGCTTTATGCACCTTAAACAAAGAATTGAAGAGGTATGCTTTGCTTCTCCTGGTTTAGATTCCTTCCTTTCCTTTTGGCGTCTTTGAGTCCGGAAGTAGAAAATTCCTGTTCTCATTCATTTCTCTTACAATGTCTCATCATAAATGTTAATTATTTATGCGAGTTGCAGGTCATCACTAGACAAGCCAGTGTACAGAGGTGCAATGCGACTGTCCTATTCAACGAAAAGGAGAAGCCCTTTTACCCTGTGGTCGTTAACGACAAAGATCTGCATCAACACTTCCTAAATGTTGCAGGAGATTTGCTAGGCCCGCGGAATATATTAGAGAAGCCACCATTGATGGGTGCGGAAGACTTTGCATTTTATCAAGAAGTAATTCCAGGATACTTCTTCATGGTCGGTATGAAGAACGAGTCTCAAGGAAAGCTCGAATCAGGGCATTCACCAAACTTCAGGATAAACGAAGATGTGCTTCCATATGGAGCAGCGTTACACGCATCCTTGGCCACAAGGTACCTCCTTGAAAATCAACCCGAATCTACTTTGTCAAAGGGGGACTCTCATGATGAATTGTGAAGGGCTAGGATTGATTGATAGAGCTCAACTCATGTAAACCACATCGAAGTTTCGAACTTCATGTGAATTCGAGCAGATTCTTCGGCATGTAAAGCTGACTTCATATAAATAATTTCAGCTAACCTGTTGATGTTTAAAGCTATAAACCTGTTTTGTTTTCATAGGTTTCGTTTTGTCATTCCTTTTCAAGGTTCTAAAAGTCGCTAGGCGCTAGTCGGGCGGCAGGCTAGGGCCTAGCGCCTAGGCGGCTAGGCGGGGCCTAGGCGGACTAGGCGGATTTAAGTAAATCTATCATATTTCAGGTTAATAAGTGTCTGCTTCTACTTGAAATGTATATAATTTCATCATAAGCTACAAAATAGAATGCA